GGTGGGTATGGGGGCTGTGAGGTGGGTAGGGGAAGCTGTGAAAACATAAATATAAATACTTTTCCTGCCGGTCCGGAGGGAAGCTTTCCAGTGAGGTCAGCAACATGCATGGGGCGGAGCTTGCGTGATGGGCGGTGCTTCCCTTCAGGAGGCGGGGCTTGTGGGGGCGGGGCATGCGGACAAAATTTATTTTCCCTGTGCAGGGAGACTGACAGGTTCCCGGTATCCCGGTGGGCTAGTTCGGCTCTGCCCTTGCCCCTTCTCTAGGAAACACTTGCCCCATCCTCTATAAAACCCCTGTTGCCCCCTCTACAAATCCCCAGCCCCCCTCAGCAAAACCCCTGTTACCCCTCTACAAAACCCCTGCCCCTCTCTGCCACCTCTCTACAAAACTCCCTTCTCTACAATGAATGAAATGCTGTGGCGAGACCTTAAGAGAGCAACGATGTAAAGAAGAGTGGGCTATAATTCATCAACAACAATGTGAGAGACTGATAAGGCCATACAGAAAATGATTACTTCAAGTTATTGCTGCTGAAGGTGGTACGACAAACTATTGAATCATAGTGTGTACTTAGTTTTTCGCACATGGCTTCTCCATTTTGGCTTTATTTTTGCTAAATAAATCATGACAGGGTGTAATGTGTCATGCATTGTTGTTCATAGACATGCTAAGGAACAGATGATTGTAATTATGTCCTGATATGTAAAACCATAGAATTCAAAGAGGGTGTACTTTCTTTTTCCCATGACTGTATGTATTAAAAATATTTCTGGGACTGCTTAACAGAATTGAAATGTTTCTGACAAAGTCTTTTTTTTTTTTAAATATACCTTGTAATTTGAACCATTTAGTGTTTTCTTTATGCATTGCTGCCCTTCTATAATTATTTAATTACAAATAAAACAAACAAATATCCATGTTTTTGCCTCAGCTAAAAACCTAATGTGGCATTTTATAACACAATAGTTAAAGGAATTCTATAGTGCCTGGAAAACAAAGACGTTTTTCTGGCACTATAGGTTCCTACAGTGACCACCTTCGACCACTTACCTGAATCCAGCGGTGATGTCCCTCAGCACTGGGTTAGGCGCTGCCCATGCTCCTCAAACGCTGACGTCAGCCGGTGTGGGAGACCTAATGCGCAATGGCCGCACTCGCATTAGGATTTCCCCATAGGAAAGCATTAATTGATGCTTTCCTATGGGGATTTTGGTAACGCTGGAAGTCCTCAAGCATAGAGTGAGGACGTCCAGCGTCATTTAGGCGACCAAAAGTAATCTAAGCACCTGGAAGTCCATCTGGTGGCTGTATATAAAAGAGCCACTAAAAGAGAAGTTAACCCTAGCAGGTAATTATTGCAGTTTCTCAGAAACTGCAATAATTACCAATGTGGGGTTAAGGGATATGGGGCATTGCACCCAGGCCACTTCAATGAGCTGAAAAGGTATTGGTGCCTACAGTGTCCCTTTAGGAGGGGGTAGAAGACACATGAGGATAAAGGTGTAAGAGGGGATAAGACATACACAAGGAAGTAAAATTGATTAAGTAGCACACAAGTAAAACATTTTACTAATGGGTAAAACACAAACAAGTTTTATGAGGGGTAAGGGACAGAAGGGGACAAGCTGAGGTTAATAGATACACAAAGGTTATGAGGGGAAATAGATACACACGCTGGTAAGGTTGGTTAAGAGATAAAAAGAAGTTAGGGGGTATATAAGAACACAACGGGTGAGAGAAATAAAATACACACAAGGGTGTCAGCACATACACACAAGGGTTAAGAGCCACACAAGCGGGTAAGAGGTGAGCTTAGAGACACACAAGGGGTTAGAAGATATACACATAGATGTGAGTTGTCTTCAGAGAGAGACACAAATAAGATTGAGGAGTACAGTAAAAATGTTGCAATTGACAGTGTGCCAACACACAGTTCCTCCTTATGCGCCAAATAACATAGGTATGCCACTGGGACCTGCAAGTCAGAGAAGCTATTTACAAATATTTTTATCAGCCATTTGCCACTCACCTGGTATCAATTTCTACCTTCCAGTTGCTCCCAAGATTTTGAAATTTTGAAGTGGAACCCAACAGTTTTGAAACACTATCAGGATTATTCACGAAAGTGATAAATGTTGGGAATTCAAAATGAATTTCAAATTTAAGGCCAAAGTAACCCTAGCTGACTTTATTTTTGATCATTTTTCTTGTTCTTCTATTTTGGAGACAAATTCAAAATTTACTTTGAATTCCTGACAATATAACCCCTAAAATATACTCTATTTCCCCTTTTCTCTCAACATATACTAGAGACTCATTGGGTATAAGATGATTCTTCCAAGAAATGGTTGAAAAAACATAGAAAACGCAATGATAGTGCAGATGGTTTTTAAACTGACAACAATTAATCAGTTGGTGTTCGCTTAGTAAGCCTGATTCGTAAACAGTCAATATGATTTTCCCATCTCAACCATATTGACTGTTTACGAATCAGGCTTACTAAGCGAACATCAACTGATTAATTGTTGTCAGTTTAAAAACCATCTGTACTATCATTGCGTTTTCTATGTTTTTTCTCTTACATATTTCAACCATTTATTGGAAGAATCATCTTATACCCAATGAGTTTGTATACATTTTCTTTTAATATAACTGTTCTAATATTGTGTTTAACTTTGCTCCACTCACTATTACACATTGTTCTCTGTTGGTGAACTTGGGGATTACACCAGAGTGTGAAGCATTTTTTTACACTTGGCTCTATAATGCTTTTATAGCACCCAGATTTCTTTCTTTTATATATACTAGAGACGTGGTGGTCCTCATTGAATGTTTATTCTTGAAGTCTTCAGAATGCCCTCCACATATACAATAACATTATATTTGTCACGGGTGGCGGTCCGAAGACCGGGACCCCTGTCTGCCTGATGATGAAGATAGGAGTCTCAGCGTGGAAATGGACAAACAGGGTCTGGTGCAGAGTAACCATACGCCCCCTGGTGTTGAGCACCAGGGTTTGTGTGGCCACATACCAGAGCACTGATGCAGCTTAAGCAGAAGCCAGGAGCTAGATGATATGCTAATATGTATCCAGTACTAGAAACAAGGCAAGACTAGAACAGGCACCAAACAAGAAAACAAGACAAGACTAGAAGAACCCAGAACATGTACACTATACATGAGGGAAACATGAGCAGGACATGGGCAGGGCATGACAGGACAGGACAGTACATGAACTGGGAATACAAGAAAAATAAAACAAGACAAGAGATACAAGGCAAAACAAGAGGAGACATAACTAAGTACTATATGTAATAAACATTGCAGATTTAGACATACATAAATGGCCAAGATGTATGCAGCCCACCAGTGCACCAAAGTACTCCAATTACGGTGGGTCCTAACTGCCTAGAAATGCATGACTAAATAAACAACAATAAAACGCACACAGTTCTTACCTGCAAAGAAAGGAGCAGAGGAAATGAGACCACTGCTTGCAGAAACAGACTGAAACAAAAGGGATTAAGTGGCAAAGGAATGGGTGTGGCAACAAAATACAAACTATTAAAGGAATCCAGGAGACTGGGAATTCCAGGAACGGAATAAAGGAACGAACATAGAAAACCATAAAGAAAACCAGACATAGAATAGAAAACCAGAAAGAACAAGAAAATCTAAACAAGAATTGTAAAAAGAGTACTGGATACCAGATGCCAAGGCCAGATATCTGAACAGAACGGAACAGGACGTGACAATATTCATATAATTCATGCTTCGGGGCGTGGCCTGGACACCGGCGGGAGAAGTCGCATGTAAACGCAGCTCCGCGTACCACAGCCTAACCTGAGCAATTGCCACACAATACTACGGCACAATATACCTGAAAACTCCAATGTCTCACCCAAAATCGAAGCAGCAAATGGAGAAGGCGGACAAGACACAGTTCTTTGCCCCAAAGCAGAGCGCACAACGGGACTCACTGCAGACGGCGGGAATCCAAGATGGCGCCGGCGCCGAAGACAGCAATGAGGCAACTCACTGTACACCTAATGTTCAGGGGCTCCTGACCCAGCACATAATGCAGAACATGTTGGACGAAATGTCCGCAAAAATAATGAAGAGTGTGCAGGCATCCATAGAAGAGCTGCGCAAAGACCTGGGAGACCTCGGTTCCAGAACCTCAAAACTGGAAGAAAAGATGGCGGACGCTGAGGAAGCGCATAACGACCTTGCAGACAGGCTGTTGCAGATGTCAGAGCGCTTGGCGGCGCAGGAGGTAAAAATAGCCGACATGGAAGACCGGAGCCGGCGAAACAATTTATGGCTGAGGGGGGTGGCAGAAACTGTGGGCATAAATGACCTGACAGCACATGTCACAGCCTACCTAAAGTCACTAGTGCCAGATATCCCACAAAACATGCTCCTCTTTGACCGCATCCACAGGACGGCGAGACCCAAGTTCCTGCCCCAAGATGCCCCCAGAGACATTCTGGTGCGTATGCACTACCATCACATTAAAGACGCCATTCTAAAAAACAGTAGAACCCGCAAAGAGCTTCCTGAAAAATACCGGGACATTATGTTTTTCGCAGACGTCTCAGCGTTCACCCTCTAAAAACGTAGGGAGTTCCGAGACATTACAGCGGCACTCAGAAAGAACTGAATCGCATATCGCTGGGGATACCCAGTTAAACTACTGGTGCAAAGGGCAGGCAAGACAGCGGTAATATCAAGCCCAGAAGAGGGAGCTGAAATACTGCGAGAATGGGGCTTCGGAAGAGAATCCCAGAAGAACCTATCTACAGAGCCAAGAAGATTAACTCCAGAGTGGAAAAGAGCGAAACACACATAGACTGTAACGCGTGACGCCCGGGTGGGCCTAAAGTCACGGACGATGTGGTGCCGCAAGTATAAAACTCAAGTGAAATGTTTATGTTATATGTCAGAGCCAACAATTGAGGGATTGTATAGGACCAGGGGTACTCCATGTGCGAAATGTAACAGGGGAGGTGGAAATAGTAAAGCAGGGCACAGGGAGATATATATTTAGAAAAAAAAAAAAAGGAATAAGCGAGTAAATAGCGGAGAGAATTGAGACCCCTGGGAGGTGTAAAAGACAAATCGCATGGGTTACAACACAGCGGCATCAATAAAAAAAAAGAAAAATATACATACAACGATAATTAACAATAATCAAAAGGGTAAATGGGAGGCACCATATGCAATTAAGCCATAGCAAGAAAGGCTGGCGCACAGCGTATCTCCCCCAAGGAACAGAAGCTAGAGGCTTCTACCCCCGTGGCACTTAGATGAAGTGCCTCGCCACGGAAAGGTGCATGGTTAAATCTTGTATATACATTCTTTGTTGTTTGGTTTGGTTACTACGTTGTTCCACCCATTGAGAGATGGCCTGTGGCCCCTACCAATGGCGAGCATGTTTGGGACCTAGTGGGGGGTTCCACCTATTATAAGCACGAAACACACACCTTCCATGCAGGAAGTGATGGAATACGACCCAACTCTAACCGGAATACCTGTGAGAGGTTGTCACAGTCCCCAGGGGAAGGCCTACTCTGCTGGATAGCGCTGGGAGGAGCGAGGCACCCCGCAACAAAAGAACACTCTCAATACACAGCACAACCCTTTATGTTAGACCCTATATGAGGATATACACACATAATGTAAGGGGATTGAATATCCCAGCAAAAAGACATTTATTGAACCGAGAACTTAGGAAACACCAAGCAGAAGTGGTCTGCCTACAGGAGACACATTTCTGTACAAACGACCACCCAAAAATTATGGAGGTAGACTATCCACACCAATTCCACTCTACTTCCCCAACTAAAGCAAAAGGAACATCTATTCTGCTCAGCAAAAATTTCTCCTTTTCCCTAAAATCACAACACCTAGACCCAATGGGCAGATATGTGGTGATAGTGACGTACATGACGTACGACATGACGTACACAACTGCAAACATATATGCGCCCAACCAAAATCAAAGAAACTTCCTACACAAGATACTTACAATCCTGACACCAATACAACAAGGCATAACACTAATCTGCGGCGATTTCAACCACATCTTCGACACAACCATAGACACAACCCTCAAAAGCGCTAGTAGTAGATACCAAACCCTTAGAGGACAAAGCGAAGCCCTCCAGACCCTAATACATAAGTACCATTTCTACGACACATGGAGAATCACGCACCCCATGGAAAGAGCATTCACGTATTTCTCACACATTCACAACTCCTACTCTAGAATAGATGGGTATCTCCTCCAAGGCTCCCACCTCGACCAAATCCTAGCATGTACTATAGCACAAATCACATGGTCAGATCATGCTCCAGTGCTCCTGTAGATGAAAGACCTCTATGATTTTAAACATCGGAGCCCTTGGAGAATCAACGATTCCCTCCTCCATGACCCACAATTCGAGGCCGACCTATCTACGCAACTGCAGCATTACTTTGTAGAAAATGAGACACCAGACGTCTCATCCACCACGGTCTGGATGTCCCACAAGTCGGTGGCGAGAGGACTGTTAATTAGAAGGGCCTCATACCTCAAAAAGACCGCCCAAAGACAAACACTGGAATTACAAAAAGAATTACACAACATAACACTACAAAACCAAATCTCCCCCCACAGACGACAAACGCAGACGCATACTCCAACTCACCAGGAGTCTGCACACGCAGGCCTTGGCACAAACGGAGCACAACCTCAAACGATTGAAAACCAATCAATATACCCAAGGAAACAAGGCAAGTAAATTACTAGCGAACAGGCTTCGGGAGAAACAGGCAGCACAAAAGATAGCATACCTCACTGCACCAACGGGAGCAAAACTCATTACCCCAAAGGCCATAAGCGATGAGTTTGCGCGCTACTATACCAAACTCTATAACATACACCAAGACCCAGCGGCCCCACAACCAACAGAGAGAGACATACAGGCATACCTGAGAGACACGCACTTGCCCCGACTTACGACCCAACAACAATTAGAACTTACAAAGCCACTATGTGAAGAGGAACTTCTAGCTGTAATAAAGACCCTCCCATCAGGCAAAGCACTGGGACCAGATGGGTTAGACAACACATACTACAAAAAGTTCAGTGGCATTTTAGCACCATACCTGGTCAAAGCCTACACACAAGCCACTCTCCACAAAATCTTGCCCCCAGAAATGTTAACAGCACACATCGTCACATTGCCCAAACCAGGTAAACCACCTACAGAACCGCAAAACTTTAGGCCTATATCTCTTCTCAACACGGATGCGAAAATCCTGGCCAAAACTTACGCACTCCGCTTAGGAGCAATCTTGCCGAACATTATTCAGAATGATCAGGTAGGATTTGTTAAAGGGAGGCAAGGATCAGATAACACGAGGAAAGTGCTAAACATAGTACACCATCTCCGCAGAAAGACACAAGGGGGACTGTTGGTCTCCTTAGACGCAGAAAAGGCCTTTGATCGCCTACATTGGGGATTCCTGCATGCAGTACTGCAAAAATTTGATATACCAGAGGGGTTCATAGCTGTAGTGGAAGCCCTGTATAGCTCCCCACGGGCTCAAGTGCTAAACTCAGGGTTTCTCTCGGAACCAATAACGTTATCAAACGGTACCAGACAGGGATGCCCCTTATCGCCGCTGTTGTATGTCCTGGCCCTGGAACCCCTAGCGATGAAAATAAGGGACAACCCAAATATACACGGTGTCATGATCAATACACGCGAATATACCACCAGCCTATTTGCGGATGACGTCCTACTGACACTTACTCAGCCGCAGATTTCCCTCCCCAACCTACTGAAAGAGATCACCACATATGGGCAACATTCATACTATAAGCTCAATGTTACAAAAACACAAGCCATGGGGGTGGGAATCCCGGCAGATATAATGGACCTTCTACAAAACTCATTTTCACTGGACTGGAGACGGGACCACATCACATTTCTTGGGATTAAACTCACAAAAAATCCGAGAGACTTGCTTATGGCAAATTATGACCCACTACTGAGAGGTATAGCAAACACACTGAAAGAATGGGAGGGGAAGTTCCTGTCGTGGCTGGGTAGGATGGCCGCGGTAAAGATGATAGTGTTACCAAAATTCCAATACTTAATAAGAACCTTACAAATACACATACCCAAAACCTACCTAGGAAACCTCCAAAAGCTTTTCACAGGTTTCATATGGGCATCGCAAAGTAAGGGTGGCAGCTAGAGTGCTGTGCAGACCACAAGCGAACGGGGGGTTGGGAATGCCGGACGTTAAGCAATATTACAGAGCGGCTATCCTAGCTACTGTCATACAAACACACACTAAAGAGGACACACCGCAGTGGGTGGAAATGGAGACCTATTGGGCTTGCCCACGAGGCCTGAGCTATCTGTTCTGGGTACCCCGAGAACAGAGAGAGGTACACCAGGTAGTGCCGCCCACGACACGACTCCTACTTAACATATGGGACACCTCTAGGAAGCAATGGGGGCAGAACAAGGGGTGGGCGCTGGCAGCCCCCCTGTACTGCTTACACCTAGTAAACAAGGCCTTCGATTACCGTCCTTGGATAAGACAGGGCTGCACCAGGGTGGGCAACCTATACGACAGTGGCAGTTTGTTAGACTTTCCAGACATACAATGCAAATACAACCTACCACACAACACCATTTTCCAATATCTCCAGCTGAAATCCATGCTTCAAGGATCCATAATTAGCACGGTACCGCCCATTGCGAAACATATCGAACAACTGTGCACGGATACCAAACAGCCCAAGAGGCTACTCTCTACCCTCTATAACATGTTGATCCAAACAGAAGAAGACCCCCTAGAGGGGATTAAGACAGCGTGGCAGAGAGATATAGGAACGACCTTCACTGACCACCAATGGGGGAAGGCATTCTTAGCACACACAAAAAAGAACGAACTGCGCCGCTCACCTAGAGCAGATGCGCAAAATCCAATATCGCTGGTACATGGTGCCGGAGAGATTGGCACAAATTTATCCAAATGCCTCAGGGACTTGTTGGAGATGTCAGGAAAGCAAGGGTACGATGTACCATGTATGGTGGGAATGCCCCATTATAACCAAATACTGGGAGGAAGTGGAGACAATCACAAATCTAGCGCTAGACAGGGAGTTCACCATAACACCAGAGAGCGGACTTCTGCTCATGGGACTAGACACGCTTAACAAAACAGATTCCCGCATTCTATTTCACATCTTAATTGCAGCAAACACATTAATAGCCAGGGCATGGAAACAGACTCAAGCACCCACTAGGGAGGCTCTAATCAGGCAGATAACCACCAATCTGCTCTATGAACGGGGACTGAACAGACAAAACCCGACAAACAAATATGCTAATCTGGCATACGCGAACTGGTCAACGCGCATGGAAAAGGAAGGGTAGCAAATCACATAGAGAGGGAGGAAAAGAAAGAGAGAGAAAAAAATAATTAAAAAAAAAAAAAAAAGTTCTCGGAGAGGGACAACCCAGTAGGTCGTAGAACAAAATAGGCTCTAACATGGTGCAAATAGAAACCCACATGTATATAGTTATAGTTGGTACCAGTTTACAGTTGACTACAAGGGGCGCTATACAGGCCTGTAACAGACATCACGTACAGACCCAAAAGAGCCCATACGGAGTAGCAACAAGGGAAACAGACAACAAGGCGAAGATAGGCCAAAGAATGGGAGGGCCTTGTCATGGCTGGGTTGGTGGGAGGAATAAGCATTGGTTGTCACAAGATGGCAAGAACCATGGCATGGAATGTCACTTGCCAAAGGCTTTTCCGAGTCCCTTACACAGGTCCCTTTGTCCTTCCCCCCTCCTGCACCCCTCCCTCCTGATTGCAAGCGGGGACTTAAAAAATAAAATATAGATATATATATAAGTGGAGGAGCGGAAGTGCCAGTGTAAATTTCATGGAATGTCAAATGTGTCAAATGTGTTGATATTATTGTACACCAATGTGAACTTTCCCCCTACCCCCTTTTTATCTTCTGTATCCCTTGACAACAAAAACTCAATAAAAATCGTCAAGTTGAAAAAAAAAAAGTTTAAATATAATTCATGCTTCATTATTATACACATTCTAACATGAATCAAGTTTAATGTATTTATCCAATAGGATATAAGTATTGCTGATGAAACCAATATTTATTTTCTACACAAGAATGGTAACAAAGAGAAGTATCTGGTTGTATCAGATCTGAGGCAGTAGAACACTGGGACATTAGTAAATGTTAAAAAATAGTTTGCACCATTTATCAGAGAGGATATTTTAAAAACACAACAATAAATAAGTGTTAGAAAAAAAATGAAGCAAAAAGCAAATATAATTAGAATACTATTTTTTACTGGCATATCATAACATCAAAGATAGGCAAATTAACATCTTTCTAGAAAACACATGAAGGACTTCACTTTGAGATCATCATCTGTACAAGTTCTTCATAATTTACTTGACCGTCTCCATCAATGTCAGCTACTCTAATCATCTCATCAACCTCTTCATCTGTTAATTTCTCTCCCAGGTTTGTCATCACATGACGGAGTTCTGCTGCACTTATAAAGCCATTTCCCTCCTTGTCAAACACTCGGAATGCCACTCTGATTTCTTCTTCAGTATCTGTATCTTTCATTTTATGGGCCATCATAATGAGGAATTCAGGGAAATTGATTACAGATGTTCTGGCTGCAAACTTGGCAACACACCATCATTTTAATACTATTACTACTATAGCAGATAGTAGAATATTTTGCCTGGGTAATTACCATTATGTACAGCATGAAAGTGTTAAGTGAGCAAAAACAATTCCCATTATCCTTATGTGCTTTTTCAATATTCAAAGCAGGACTGCCATTTTTTTCCAATTTAGGACTGGTTTCTTTTATAATTATTCTATTATAAGACAGCAAATATCTGGAAATTTAATAACAATTTTTCTTTAGATGTCAAATGGACAACTGCAGTTGTTACCAGCGTTAAATGTATCTGTTAAAACATAAGCCTAAAACTGCGCATATTAGGGGGCTAGAAAGGGCAGGTAGTGAGGTAATATTAGGGAGAAATGAAGATTAATCAAATATCTTGAAAAGATTTATAATCCGTTGTACGCAAGAATACATTAAGAAGGTTACCATGATGGCTAATTGCCCTTGATATGATTCAAGGTTCAAAGTTAAATTATAGCAAAACAAAAGAGAAAATGTTGATTTAGATTGAAGTTTAGAGACTCGGTAAAAAAAGGGCTAGTTATTAACAGCTATTAAATTAAATGAGGAAATGAAGGCACCACTAGTGCAAGGCTATTCATGGACAGGGTATCTGGTAACACAACATTATCGACCAGATGGTATTTCTGATCAGGTAAGTAGAAGCAACATCGTAACCATTTAATCTCAGTGGCTCTTATGGTGCCTGTAGTCCCTGGTACCATCTTACATTCCAGTTTTAAACAATTCTTGAATGGATTAGCACAGATAGAGTGTCCACAGGTTTCCATCACACTTCTTCTATTATGGCTAATGCAGAAGTAGCTCAAACAGAGAGGGGGTAACAGGTATGAACTGAGAGCACCAGTGGTTACAGAACACTTTAAGCAAAAGCGGAATTCATTAAACGACTCAGAGCACATCTGACTCAGGTTCCCCTCCCCACCCTGCCCCAGCATATGTTGTGATTCATCAATGAGTGCTAGCACTGCAAAAAGTGATTACCTAATGGATTATGGCTTTATTTTTGTTAAATAGATCATGACACTGTGTAATATGTCATGTTGTTGTTCATGTGAGGTTGGATTTACCTAATTTTAAGACCTGCTAAAGAACAGATGATTGCTATTTGTCCTGATATGTAAAACCATAGAATTCTGGTGGGCACATGTGGCAAAGTGACCTTGCCATGAGTTTGTGGAGATGACTACTTGCCAACCTTTTGCCCTGTGACTATGGCCCCTTTAATTTGTTTTGGCTAAGAGGCCCTATTTGTGGCTATTGGGACTTTAGACAATGGTTTTTCGAACTCCCAAACAGTCGAAGTGGCCGCAATTCAACATTCGAACACGTGGTGGAGGCCATCTTGTTCGCATGGACTAAAACCACGAATAGACTTCAGGGGGACTTAGCCGCGAATGCCCTGGAACTATTTTCGGCATGAAAACCTTGCGGTTCCCAGTCGGTCCTCCAGCGGCACATAGTCGCAAATCTATGGAACTGTTTTGGGCATGAAATCCTGGGTTCACCTGGGCAAAAATATGACTTCCATAAAATTTCTGAACCCCTGATCTGATATGGGTGATTTATGGATATGTTGTTTACCCAGATAAGAGCTATCGGGGTATGTAACATGTATGGGGATATGTTGTGTTGTGGGGTAGTTATGGTACTTTATAAAAATCTGTGTTTTTTCTGCCTGGGGATAATTAAGTTAATGCAGTAACTACCTTAATTATATCACAGGCAGAGGGATTGTTTACTGTATGTGGGAGTGTCGTTCATTGTTACATTGTTTTTATTGGTCTGTACAGTTTGTAATGCCGTGTTCCATCCGGTCCAGGAGGTGTGCCTCTGGCCTGAGGAATTGTATAAAAAGCAAACCTGTACTATTAAACTTTACCATTAATCACTAGCTCTTGTAAGGGCTGGTCCTGCTACACTCTCTGAAGAAAGAGAGGTTCACACACTGGAACCTGGAGCCTTGTTGTAGGTCCAGGGTGGGTAGGAGATGGCGAAATTCCAACCAAGCTGCAGCGGTTCGTGGGGTCTGCAGTATTTATGGTGTCTGGAGAAGTGCTTGGAGCCCTCGGTAAGCTCTAGGAGCATCCGTCGGCAGAGGTACCCAACCGGGGTACAGGAAGCTCCGTTACAGCACACAATGAGGTGAGAGAGATAAAAGACTGACAATGGGGGTCAGCAAATGCACACAGGGGTTAGGAGCAAGAAAAGCGAGTAAGAGGTGAGCTAAGAGACACACAAAAGGGTCAGAAGATACATACATAGAGGTGAGGTGGCTTTAGAGAGACACAAATAAAATAGAGGAATAAATAAAAATGTTGCAATTGGCAGTGTACCAACACACAATTCCTCCTCAAGAGCCAAATAACCCAGGTATGCCACTGAGGCCTGCAAGTCAGAGAGGCCATTAGCAAATATTTGTATTAGCCATCAAGTTCTACCTTCCACTTGACTTTGGAACTTTGAACTGGAACCACAAATCTTTGAAACACTATCAGGGCTATTGACTAAAGTGAAAAATATTGGTAATTCAATATAGTCACCAGAACAACTACAGCTTAAAGGAACACTATAGGGTCAAAAACAAAAACATGTATTTCTGGCCCTATAGCATTTAAACCACCATTGAGGTGGCTTGCCCACCCTTAGCCCCCTTAGAAAGGATTAAAACTTACCTTTTTTTCACTGCTGTGCGGGTCTCCAGCACTTACCAGGCCCCTGATCCGCCTCTTTGGCTGTCATCATCAGAATTGATGATCTCAGCCAATCCAATACTTTCCCAAATGCCTGCATGGACTGACTATACTCACTAGAACAACTACAATGAGCTGTAGTTGTTCTGGCGACTATAGTGTCCCTTTAATATAGTTGTTTCTATTGAATATAGTCAGTATCTGCAGCCTTTTTACTGTAAACACAATGTGCCTCACTGACATTCAGCGTCTCCATGCTCTGTGTGGAGACACAAACTTTTTCCATAGAGATGCATTGGGTGGGGGCTTTGTAAATGGAGGGTGGGCAGATCATTGTCCACCCCCTTAATCCCACCCATGACAAGGTTGAGTGGGGCTAATCCTAATATCTTCACTGCCCCCTCCTGGTCAGCAAGTAAGGGCTACTAATTGTATATGAGGAAAGGGGAGACCCATTGGGAGCAGCAGGTGGGAGCTCTAAATATATAATATAAGGTGTGTGAACCTAGTGTTCCCATCCCAGCTCTCACCCATGGGTGGTGGATGGGAACTTTAAATAAAATACAAGCTGGAAAGCTAGTGTCCTATCTCCCAGCCCCCACCTATGGGCTGTGGGTGAGGGCTCTATTAATAATACATTGGAGGAACCTAATGTCCCCCAACTAGCCCCCACCTATATTTATGGGGGTGGACATGCCATTGTCCACTACCCAAATTTGAGGTACTAAAATGATTTGCAAAAAAATACACAAAAAAATGCGACACAATCTCCATATTCTTCTCTTGGAGTTTTGGTGCAGACTGAGCACACGTTGTGGAGAAAGCCCTAATAAAACTCCTGCACCCCTGTCCAAAACCCCTGTCACACTGTATCTGTCACTTTACAAAACCCCTATCTTCCCTTTACAAAACCCCTGTCACCCCTCCACAAAACCCCTGCCCTCCTCTACAAAACCCCTGTCACTCCCTTTACAAAACCCCTATCTTCCCTTTTACAAAACACCTGTCACCCTTCTACAAAACCCCTGCCCTCCTCTACAAAACCCCCTTCACCCCTGCACAAAACCCCTGCTGGATCTCTACAAAACCCCTGTCTGTCACCTCTCTAGAAAAAAACTGTTACCTCTCTATAAAACTCGTCACCCCCTCTGCAAAACCCCTTTCCCCTTTACAAAATCCCTGCCCTTCTCTACAAAACCCCTGCCCTTCTCTACAAAACCCCTGCCCCTCCTCTACAAAACTCCTGCCCCCTCTACAAAACCTCTGCCCCCTCTTCAAATGCCTGCCTTCCTCTACCAAACCCCTGTAACCTCTCTACAAAACCTCTATGAAACCCCTGCCTACCCCTCTACGAAACCGCTACCCACCCTCTACAAACCATTGCCCCCTCTACAAAATCCTACCCACTGCCATCTACAAAACCCCTGTCTGCTCTACAAACCCCTGTTACCCCTCTAAAAAACTCCTGTCACTCCTTTTACAAAACCCCTATCTTCCCTTTACGAATGCCATCGAAAACAACAATATCTCATAGTGAGAAAAACATAGAGCTTGCAATCCCCCAACCAGCTGGAGGAGCAAATCAAACAAAGACGGTATCATGATCTCTCTTTCCCTTACGAATACCTTTCAGAGCCTGACCCACCAGAAAGTGCTTGGTCAAGACTTCCCACCCATTTAACTTGAAGAGGAAAGCCAACGCTGCTAGATTACGATCAACGCCCGACGGCGAGGCCCCAGACACAAACAACCGACACAGAAACCATAACAAAACATCTAAACGTAACTCCACCGCATAATTCCCCTCAGTACACCCTAACACAGCATCCCAAGAATCCCACACGTTACTGTATACCGCTCAAGTGCTTGGTGCCAATTAATCCCTGATTTTATTATAGACACAGAGGCTCGTATATATGCAATTTCTTTCTTATTTATTCCCTCAGCAGCAAGAAAAGTTGAGAGAAAAACGAATAAACTTTAAACATTTAAATCTGCCTAGGAACAGTGGCAGCCAATAATGTCACAGTGTCCATATGAAAGGAAGGTGTCATCTGTTGCTCCTCCTCTTTATTGCTGCTCCCTCAGAGATAAGTACACAATTTTCTTCACTGTACATTATATTTATATATTGTATTTTATTGAAGTTTATTTTACTCTTTTGCCACTTGTTCTGTGCCTGGTGTATATCCAGACCACCCTCACCGAGATACTGGTGATTTGGGGGAACCCCTGGGGTTTGCTTTATACTTGTCTACCTCATCATTTCCCCCCGGCCTCGCGGCTTCCGACCACATTCAGGAACCGCAGGTTCCCCCTCCCATGGGAGAGCCGCCGCACCCATTCCAATCCCCCAC